ACAGATGGTGGCCGGGAAGCCCCTTCCTCTGGGCCCAGAGCAGTCGGACAGAAGAGGGGCCATTATCTTTTGCTTGGTCAAGAAATAAGTAGTTAAAAGCACTCAACAGTTCTAGCTGGGTGGGATAACTATTAAAGAAAAGGACTATTAAGTTTTATTTCCTGGCTATTCGACAAAAACCTCAGTCCAAATGTTAGTAACCAAAATTTCTATCTAGGAACACACACACAAAAAATTTTTTTCTGGTGACTTAATGTATGAACCACTTGATAAAAGCAGATATGTTAAAAGCAAACCTCACCTTGACATTGCAGACTGTCTGTCCCCGTACATTCTTGTGTTCACAGTTAGCAATAACTTGCTCGATCTGGTTCCGATCAAAAAAATCCAACTGTAAAGGCTCAGGAATCTCTTGACTGAAGTCAATTGAGTCAAGAATACTTAGAATTTTTCGACGTACTAGAAATAATAAGTAAACCATTTGTACACAGGGCACTGAAGAACAAACTATCATACTCAACTCAGTCTCAAAGAGTGGGTGATGTTCAGAAACTGATGACCATGGTACAATGTAAATCTGTATTTATTTCTGATATAGCCACTTACAAAATTATTTTCCTTCCATTTTATAATCCTATTAAAAATTATTTGTGCATGACAATCCTTTACATAGCTTTTGTATACCAGGTTTGGCAAAACAGGTACAATAATCTCTTTAAGTTTTGAGCAATTTATGATGTCTATGAAATTGGCCAGGGATTTAGCTCAGTGGCACCATGCCTGCCTTGCAAGTGAAAGGTCCTGAGTTTCGATCACTGGTACCAAAAAAAAAAAAAAATGTCTATAAAATAAACCTATTGCAAAAATAAACTTTTACCTTTTGTGCTAGTGTCAACATGAAGGAACCCAGAGACAGACCTATTTTCATCTTCCATTCCTCCTTCACCATCTGGTGGAGCATAAATAATAATAGATTGGAAAATGAAGAAGACACTTAAAACTACATTTATTTGGAAATTAAAACAACATATTTTATTTCTAGGTCACTGTTTCTAGGTCAAAGAACCTAATTAAAATGCAGACTGATGAAGATTTACTACAGCATTCATCTAATTCTTTCCATCCTTAGGGAATCTTTCAAAATTTTAAAAAGGAGTGCTCGCTTCGGCAGCACATATACTAAAATTTTAAAAAGGATATCAGAAAAAAAAAAAAAGATGTCAGCATTTCAAAACTGGCAAGACCCAATCATGTGAAACACTTGATACAAAAAGTTTATGTTTAAGTTGCATGCATAATACATACTGAAATAGGATTTGTCATGTTGGCTCAGGGTGACAAACTCCACTAAGTAGTTTGTAAATGATTGTTATTACAGATTCTTAAAACAAAAATAATAATCATGGGATGATTTTTAAATTTTAGGGAAAACCATTCCAAAGGTGAGAAGAACTGATTTAGTCTGTAACTACATTTGCAGCATAAGATTCAGATTTGTACTTGAACTAACAAAGACCAGTCCCCAGCACGGAGCAGTCAGTAAACGTCAGCGTTCACCTGAGTATGGTCTCACTGGCATGTCATCCAGTAGGAGGTGAAGGAGTTTCTGGGTATGTGACCGCTGACGATTCAGAGAAGTCACTCTGAGTTCTATTGAGGCAGTTTTCATAAGCCATGACATTTGATTCAGCACAGAGATTTCATATTCTGGAATTTAAAGACATAAATTTCATTGCTCAGAGTAATAACACAAGATCAGGACAGATCTAAATTCCAAAATTCATTAGCTATTTTCCCATGTGACAGTCAATAAGTTATAAAACTTGGCAACATCATAATTTGTTTCTCTGTAAAATTACAAAAGAAAAAGAGACACAAAGGCAGAAAAATAGTATGTGTCCATGAAAAATGAGCTAAGGCAAATGATGAACAAAAGAATCAGTTTTTATTACAGGGGTAATTTTATAAAAATCTTCTGAGTATTCTATAATTTGACATTAATATGTATTAATATTGTTTTTAAAAGGTTTCAAATACATAACTTATTAAAAACTATCATAAAATTGGTTTTGAATTCACGAAACACATATTTAGAAGAAATTATACCCACACTGCATCATTTTATGATATCTCTGTCTTTTTTTCTTTTAGTTTTTTAAGACAGGCTCTTGCTATGCAGCCCAAGCTGCATTTACAATTCTCCTGCCTCCTCCCAAGTGCTAGGATTACAAGCATGTGCCAATATGCTTGACAATGATATCTCTTGAGATAATTAAATACATTTGACTTAACATATAATTAGTACTAGGAATCACTTATACAATGTTTTTAAAACCGAGTATTATTTTTATATTTGCAGTCAAAATGCAGACCCACTGAAAATACTGTATAAAGTGACCAGGCTATGTGTGTAAGGTATACGTTAACATAAATGAATTTCATATTTAGACTTGGGTCCCTTTCCCAAGGTACTTTATCCATTATGTATGTGCAAATATTCCAAAATTTGAACAGTCAAAGTTGGAAACACTTTTGGTACCAAGTATTTTAGATAAGGGACATTCAATCTGTAATAATAAAGAAAAATAATGTCCTACCTTTGTTAGAGAAAGGCAGATGCTGCAACTGAGAAAATAAGAAATCCTGGCTGGTTCTTAAGTACCTCATGGTAGGACCAGAAGTATCAGAGCATGCACATAACTGATATATCACCTAATGAGTAAAAGAAGATTGCAAAAGGGAAGGGGATGAAAAAGAATTGAGATGTGTTGTGTACATGAACCAACTTCCCCATGAGAAATGTAAATGTACTATAAACACATACCAATAATAATAAAAAATTTTTAAAAGAAATTTCTAAATCAGTTTTTTTGTGCTATATACATATATTTTTTTTTATGTGCTATATATTTTAAGATAACAATATGAACTTAGAGCGACTACATGAAGAATTAAGATGGGCCAGGGATTTAGCTCAGTGGTTTTGCCGCCTGCTGCGCAAGCGCAAGGACCGAAGTTCGATCCCCGGAATCAAAAAAAAAAAAAGAATTAAGATGCATCAACAACTTAAAGCAAAACGGATAAACATACTTAGAAAACTTCAACTCAGATTATAAATGGTCCTTATATCCTCCATTCAATAAAATATACTGAAACACAATTCAAAGTGGTAGTGACAGTGATAGCGAAATCACTGAATAATTTATTAATACATGTACATGTAGTTAATTAACAAAGTTTAGTGTTTTAGCCATTATTAGTAGCAAACTACTTGGCAGTGACTTCTGAGAACGAGTTAATTCATCTTAGTCTCAGAAAAATAATAAATTTACCAGAATTGAAGCAAGTGCAAAAACTACAAAGATGATCTACAAATTCAATCATGTAACAAATATGAACTCTAAATAAAAAGTTAACAGAAAACAATAGATTTGAAGAAAAAACTTTTATATCAAACATAAAAAATGGTTAACTCATATATAAAGATTTCCATCCCCGTACAAAAAAAAAAAGCATGTGCCACTATAAAGATTTCCATTACATATGAATATCATAAAGATCTAAATAAAGGCAAAAAATTTTATGTAAGTAAAAGTAGCTCATAGTCAAAGAAAAATATCCATCTTTCTTCAGCAATATACAATTAAGCTAGGCATCAGGAACTGCATCTATAGATCTACTACTCAGAAGGCTAAGGCAAGAGGAATGCTTGAGCCCCAGAGCGCCACACTAGCTTGAGCAACAAAGAATGATTTTTGGCTCTTACAAAATTAAAACTTAAAAATAGGCTGGAAGTTAAGCATGATAGTACGGCACTTGCCCAGCATGCATGAGGCTCTGGGTTTGATCTCCAGCACCATAAAAAATTTTTAAATAAAAAAATTAAAGCAGTAATAGGGCAGGTGCCATGTTACATATTATAAATAAGCAAAATTTTTAGTTGTAAAATGTAAATCTTAGTATTTGGCTAAGTGACAGTGGAAACTTTCATTCATGAGTGATTCATTTTACAAATATTTATTTATTAAATGCTTTCTATATACCAGGCTTTTAAAGTTCATCTATTATTGGCATCCTTGACACATATTTGACTGTTATGGTTATTTGTGAATTAAAATTTGAAGTCATAAAATTGTTAGTATCTTGACCCAACATAATCCATACTCTTTATTCAGAGATTCCATATGTGTGAATTTGCCTTTGCGCTAAAACTTACTTGTAACCCCCAAATAATGCTCAGAATGGACAGGCAAAGCAGTGAAAAATTTCAGCCACCCAACTCACATGCAATTAAAGCAACACTCTGCCTCTTATTCCAGCTCTCAACTGCAAACAAGGGCTTTTATCAGGGTCTATTTAGTGCACAGCTTCCCCATTTTTGTGCTTTTTATTGGTGATTTTGCTATTTGAAACAACCCCAAGCATAACTGTCAAGTGATGTGTAGTGTTCCTAAGGAAAAGAAGGGTGTGGTGTGCCTTTCAGAGAAAAACGTGATAAATTTCACCCAGGCCTGAGTTACAGTGTTGTTAGCCCTGAACTCAATGTTAATGAATCAACACTATATACTACATAAGGTGTTTTTTTAAACAGAAATACACATAAAAGAGCCAGGGATTTAGCTCAGTGGCGCCATATCTGCCTTGCAAGTGCCAAGGTCCTGAGCGATCCCCATACCAAAAAAAAAAAAAGAAAGAAAGAAATACACATAAAAGAAAGTTATGGATAAGAGGCTCTCAGGAATCTAACCCTATATTTGCTCTTGGAGCAATAGTTCAGGATTTGTCAATTCAATGTTCAAAAGAATTTTATAAAACTACTGTGAATGAAGACTGATTGTAAATTCGTGTCTGAAAATGTATTCTTTTTTTTTTTTTTTGGTACCAGGGATCGAACTCGGGTCCTTGTGCTTGGAGGGTAGGCAGTGGAACCACTGAGCTAAATCCCTGGCCCTGAAAACATATTCTTAAAAAAAATAAAATGACAAAAGGCAACAGAAGATGTTCACTAGAGCAGAGCAATAAACTAGAAACCACCTGAAATCATTTACATTGCTATAATATTGGAAGCTTATAGAGGGGACAAAAAGACACAAAATTGTATGTGTACTGTATGCAACTAAAAAAATACAAGGAAAAGACAGAAAGGAAATATATGGAAAAAGTAAACAGCTCTGCTGCAGATGCAGTTGTCTTTAGAGCTTTGATATTGTTCTGATATTTGAAACACAAAAAAACCAATACTGAACTTCTCAAAACAAAACACAAATCCAGTGTATCAGATGCCAAGTTAACAAAATACAGTTAGAGAATACTGTTAGATGGATTCAAAAAGTATAAGCCATTCTACTAATGTGTATCCAATGGGACCCCTCCTAGTTCTCAAGACAGGAAAAATCTCCATGCTTAAAGAAAGGAGGCAAAAGCACAATGCTTAGCCTTAACTTCTTCACCGAGAAAACCTGCTATTATAGGACAATGAAGGTATCAAAAAGGGTCAAATTATTTCCCTTTGCTACAATTGGATTTTCTTTAACCGGCTCTTCTGTATTTTTTGGTTTTATTTTTGGTCTCTCAATATATGTCAGGTTGGTCCTCACTATGTAGCTCAGACTGGCCTTGAACTCCCAGCAATGGTCCTGCCTCAGCCTCCTGAGTGGTGGGATTAGAGATGTGTGCCACCACATCCAGCTAACAAGCTCACCTTAGAGGTTTAAATTTATTTCTGAAGCCAGGGAAGGTATAAACCTACAGGTGAATGAAACAGCCTTCATTAAAAATGGAAGGTGTTTCTTGTGAAATTGCACTATGACTTATGTGAGTATGGGGCCTGAGCTTTTGCATTACCTCGAACTTCCAAGAGGAGATGCTAATGATGTTGATTCTAGGCTACACGGTGAGTAGCAGCATCACAGAGCATATGCTATAAGCTGGTAGACTGCTGGTATAATGTTCTGTTTGGAGAGTACAATGTTCCAAAAATTAGAAAAAATTTCACAAAAATTCAGATTTCTACCTTCCTTAAAATAAAAATCTGGCAAAACATTCTAAAATGGTAAAAATAAGCAGAAGCTGAGGTACATGCTCTCTGAGCAGCCAGATTGCCCTCTCCCTCCCTTTCTGACTTCAACCTGAGTTCATTAACTTATCCATTTGTTTCAGCCAGATGACTAAGCCTACTAACCACTTCTGCTTACATCTCAAATTCTGTAGTACTGAGTCCAAACATACATATTTGCTCCCCAATGAAGGAAGACCTGACTCACAGGAGATCTAGCTGCATTATTTACAGTGAAAGGATGTGGACAGACCAGAAGGCTGAAGAAAACAGTGAAAAATTTAAAAATAGAGGAGAGTAACAAAGGCATGTCTCCATGTCACAAGAGGTTGATGATGCCAGGTAAACATGAATCAGTGTGTACTTAAATTGAGAAAGCAGCCCCATCTTAGGAAATCTGGTTCTTAAAACACATAAAACAAATAAAGCAAGATGGAAATATGAATGAATAAGTCCTCATTTTAATTTTAGCTTTACATTTACTTGACTTTCCACCATTGTACGAAGGACTCCCTGGCTGACACTATTCTTAGAATGCTTTCACTTACATGCTTCTTTGTCTCACAAGAGCCCATGCCTCAGACTACAAGCTCAGATTCAGAGAGGTTGCACAGCATGCCCAAGGTGACTTCTTCGGCTGTCACCGGGCAGAGATGGGACTCAAAGAGAAGCTCACAATCCAGCTCTCACCACTAGGAAAAGCTACTTTAAATACATCTGGAGAGTTCATACTATTACAGAGTTCGTATACTACCTGGTAAAAATTCATCAAAAGAATCTAATTTTCCTCTCTGTCGAAGCAATTAGGATCTCTAAGTCTGTAAGATCTTGGGGTTTATGCTTTATGGATTTTTATCTGTAAGTGAAAGATGAGGCGAGCGCTCTACTCCTGTACTGGCAGTGGACCGGAGTATGTGACCCAGTCTCCTCCACCCAATGCTACAAAGTACACCCCCCTACCTGGTAACACAGCTCGGCCAGCTGAGGAGACTTTGGAGTTGCTGCTGGGCCCATTCTCTCTTCTGTGCCTTTCTCCAAGATGTTTAAGATGGCATGCAGGCATGTCCGAGGGCAACCTAGCACTCCTAGATGAAAGCCAAAAAGTTTCTGGTAGATTTTTTGCATTTAGAAACCTTAGACTGCCTTTACAAAAGTCAAATTCTAGAGGAGGTGACATGTACCTCTAATCCCAGCTATCCAGCAGGCTAAGGCAAGAGGACTGCAAGTTTGAGGCCAGCTTGGGCAACTTAGTGATTCTGTCTCTCAAAATACAATTTAGAAGGCCGAGGATTTAGCTCAGTGGTTCCGTCGCCTGCCTCGCAAGCGCAAGGTCCCAAGTTGGATCCCCAGTACCAAAAAAAAAAATACAATTTAGAAAGGGCTGGGGGCATCAGGTGTGGTGGCATATGTCAGTTATCCCAGCACACTGGGAGGCTGAAGCAGGAAGATCACAAGTTTGAGCCCAGCCTGGAGAACTTAGCAACACCTCATATCAAAATTTAAAATTTTTTTTAGAAGGGCTGGGGGTGTAACCCAGTGCAAAGGTCCTGTGTTTAATTACCAGTACCATGCAAAGGCAGAGGGGAGTAGCACAATAGTAGAGCACTTGCCTCCCATGAGTGAAGACCTGCCTCCCTTGAGTTTTAAACCCTGGCACCTCAAAACAAACAAAAAAAGTCAAATTCTGTAAACATATGTTCTACTGAACCATTCTCTCAAATACTGATACAGAAAAGTGACAAATGTCAATTCTCCAAAGCTTCATTTATCCACTCTTGATCTAAGTCCTAAAGACTAACCCATACATTACCTTTCATGTTATGGGCCCAGAATTCAATAAATGACCACTTAGATATGAAATATGAAAATAAATACATATGAAAATAAATACAAATATGAAAATAAATACATACACATGTGTCTTATGTCTATACCTGGATCTTGCAGGTTAGTGGTACTGACAGGTTTCTTCAATTCAAAGCCCAACAGGTAGAGAGCAAGGTTGGGTGGACTACGTTCCAGAGAGGTTATAAGAAGATTCAAGATGTGGATTCTTGTTTCATGACGAATTGCAGCTAATTTTTTTTCAAGCTCTGATCCTTAATATGAAAATCACAAAACAAAATTACGTAAGTTAACATATACAAAGTTAACCTATAAGTCAAATTTAAAAATATAAAACGTGTATTCAAGCTGAGTGTTGGCACATGCCCGTAATCCTAGCACTATGGGATCAGAGGCAGGAGGGTCCCACACTGCAGCCCAGTCTCAAAATCTTAAAAAAGGGCTGGGGATGTAGCTCAGTGTGAAGGTCCTGGGTTAATCCCCAGGCCTGGAAAAAAAGAGAGTGTTCCAAGCCTCTATGCTTTTTTTATTCCAGTGCACTTCATTAGCCATTGTATTGGTTGGTCTCTTTAAGGAAAATTCTTAAAAGTCATGTACATTTATTTTTGTTTTTCTTTACATTAAGTTGTATATACAAAGTAAAACATGCTGTTAATCTGGGGCATACCCTCTTCCAGACGTACAAATTCTTCTGCATCTTCATTATCCAAACATTCCACAAATCCAGCCATCAGTTTCTGGCTTACACTCTAAATGCAGATAGACAGAAAAATGATAAATTACCATAAAACTTCTAAATATTATAGAAAGCATAATAAATTCAGTATACACATATACATTTGTCTGCTTAAAAAAAAAAAAGTTGGGGCTGGGGATTTAGCTCAGTGGTTTCACCACCTCCTGCTGCGCAAGCATAAGGACCCAAGTTCGATCCCTGGTACCAAAAAAAAAGAAAACTCAATAACTTAAATTGTTATGTTAGATTTCTATAGAAATAAAGAAATGAAAAACTTAAAACTTTACTGGTTTCAAAACTTGCTTTCCCCAATTTTCTTCCCAAACAATCAAATTAGTACTTTAAAAATAACACTAAATTTGTTTCATAGTATCTTCATTATATAATCAATGTTATGAGATTGTAACTAAAATGTAAAATAAAATTCTTATCTTCTTCCTAGAAATATATTACTTATTACTAGTTTTATACCTCTTGGCTAATTTCTCTGTCAGAAACCTAGTAGGATGTGCTAGGCATGGTAGGGCATTTCTACAATCCTAGCACTCTGGAAGGCTAAGGGGGGGATCATAAGCGCAAGTTCAAAGACAGCCAGGGCAACTTAGAAAGACCCTGTCTCAAAATTTTAAGAAAAAATGAGAGAGAAAGAGAGAGACAGAGAGGTCTAGCAAGATGTTAAAATCAGTAATAATATATACTAAAATAAATGTCAAGAAACCAAGAATCTTTAGGATGCTCTGATTATCACATGGTATCATGAAACCCATTCCATTCCACCAATTAGACATTTACGCTGCCTACAAACAGTGGTTCTTAATTAAACAGCTATACCTACTATAAACAGTGGTTCTCAGCGTGGGTGGTACCACCCAGAAGGCACTTAAAAAGATCTGGGGCCATTCTGAAGTGTCACAACTAGAGGTTCTCCTAACATAGTGGCAGAGGACCCAGTGATGCTAAAGATCTTGTAGCATCAGGGACAATTACCCACAAAATGAAGATCTGTCCAACCCAAAGTGCCAGAAGAGCTTCTGTTTTAAAACACTATGCAAGAAGACACAATAAAATCCTTTGGGGGCTGGGGATTTAGCTCAGTGGTTCCGGCACCTGCCTCGCAAGCATAAGGTCCTGAGTTTGATCCCCGGTACCCTCCCCTCAAACAACAACAACCACCACCATGTCACTAAAATGCTTTGGCTAAAGCAGTGATTTCCCACACAGAGACACAATGAGTAAATGTTTACAGAGGAAACAAGGAGCAGATTCTCCCACTGTAGCTACTCAGTGATCAGAAATAAAACTATTATGAATAGTATTAAAAGAGGAACACTTAAAACATTCTCCAGGGTGGTATCCCATGATGTGACACCGATGTGGCTCACCAGACTACCACAGAAGGAGACGCTCACAATGGTGAGACACATTCAGAACCGCAGAAGCCTGCAACAACTGACAGGCAGGGAGCAGAACACAAACAGAAGTTGCAGTCACAAACATAATCATTTTAAACGTGTTTAGAGTAGCAGCCATGCCGTAGGCTACACAGCCACACACTGCAGTATGAATAATGTACTGAGAATACACCACTCCCCATTCACCACTGTGAATGGAGTGAACTTCAAAGACAAATCACAGTTAAGCAATGAGTAAGTTTTTCCTGTCTTTTATAAATATATTTACTCTTAGAGAATTCTTCCAAAAACAAGAATATGATTCCTCCATGGATGTTTGTCACTTGTGCCAGAATGCACCAAAAGCAGCAGGAGCAAAATCAGTTACCTGGTCATGTGTGAAATCACCAACCAATTTTATCTGAATGTTTGAATTGCAAGAGATACAGCAGAGGATCTTGGCACTTTCAAAAGCCAGTTCTGGATTCGTATTCCCATGATACAGGTATCTGCAGAACAAGAAAACATTGAGGAATAATGTGATCACACATGATTTCTTACAATTCCGGTACCCATACAGCACTGTAGATAAATTAGAAAAGACAAGAAAATATTGAGGAACAATGTGATCAGACAAGGTTTCTTACTATTCCCCTACCCATACAACACCATAAATAAATTAGAAAAAATATAAATTATGTCCCCTTCCAGCTAGAAACAGCCAGCTTTAGGCTGAATCATGTCCCTCCAAAATTCCTAAGCTGAAATCTTAGTTCATAATGACCTTGTTTGGAAATAGGTTTTTTGCATATGCAGCCAATACAGTTAAGAGGAGGTCATTACAGAGGCCCTAACAGAATAGAACTGTGCACTCACAAGAAAGGGAAGATGTGGACACAACATATGCACAAGAACACACTATGTTAAACTGAAGCAAGCTGTGAACACCAAACAAGCAAAAAGCTAGTATATATGGAGGCAGGGAAGAAAGGAGGAAAGGAAAGAGAGAGGGAGTAAGGGAGACAGAAAGAAGAGACGGGGGGGGGGATTTTCCTCCTACACACTATCCTCCAAACATCCAGCTTCCCAGAGGAGACAAAAAATATTTGGTCATTTTAGACTTATAAATTGTTAGGACACAGAATAAATTAGCAAGATGAGATTGTAAGATTCAGAGTTATTAAAACCAAAGGAGGGCCAGGGATTTAGCTAAGTGGTTCTGGCACCTGCCTTGCAAGCACAAGGTCCTGAGTTCAATCCCCAGTACCCCTCCCCAAAGAAACAAAAACCAAAGGTGTCAGAGAAAGCAAGATTCAAAGGGGGCTAAAAAATAATAAGTAGTGCATTTGATATCCAACAAGATCTAGAACACAAAGCTAGACAGTCCATCTCTTAATTACTGTATATCTCTAACCTGCAAATGTCACTTACCTGGCAATGTTTACCACGTTGTCTGCCTTCTTAGTTCTGGGATTAATTCCCTGCAGCAGCTGCTCTAAGGGAGAAACTATGAGAGCCAGCTGACTTTCTCTTAGAAGATCCATAAAGAGATTTTCCTTCTGCAGAGTAAGGTTGAGAAGTGCAAGGCAATGCTCTACAGCTTTCTCCAGGTGTTTCTTCCCTATAACCCAAAAATGAAGTTTGGAAATTCTAAATGAATCTTAGAAACTCACTGTGAATACTTAGGAAAATAAGATTACAGACAAATGTTAGATTCAAAAGGTCCTTGTTGTTCAAACTTTCACCAGCAACTTCACAGAACTTTTCAGCTACATAAATCAAGGTTATTCTGTGACCCAGGGTACTTTCATGGAATGGCTTCCCTTATCTTTTCCCTGACCCTTTAAAGCAGTGCTTCTCAGAATGAGGGGACTTGGCCCCTGAGAACATCTGACAGTTCCTAGAAACATTTGTCACAGCTGGGGAAATACAACTGGGGAAATACAACTGGCATCTAGTGGACAGAAGCCTAACACACAGAACAGCATCACAACTAAGAATGATTTGGCCCAAACTGCCAATAATGTCAAGGTTAAGAAACTAATTTTGAGTAAGATGTAATTTCTGTGGAACACAAAAAAGCAGAAAATATAGACAAGATCACCATCTTTCCAATTTAAAGCTTTGACCTAATTCTTTCCATGGTTTCTTACCTATGAACTCTGATTACAGTCATTACTGCTATATTAGAATCTATCTTTTTTAGATCATACTTACATGAAACAGACACTACAGCACAGTTGTAAAAAGCATGGGCTCCAGAGTCTAGCATCCTAGGTCCCAAGCCCATCTCTTTGCTGCATGAAGTCAGTATAACCTTTCTGCATCAGTTTCTTTGTTAAATGGAAATAAGGACTCACACATAAGGCTTCTTGGTAGATTAAATGTATTCATACATATAAGATGCTTTCAAGAGTCAAATGAATACTGAATACTCAATAAATAATGTTAATGGTAATAATAATATTAAATTTATTGAACACTGTCCAAGTACTATATAATAAGTGTTTTATAGGTATTATGGGGAAAACAGAAAGAACTTCAGATCTAAAGTTAGACATGTTAAAACAGGAAAAATGATACCACAAATAATTTTAATTACCTATAAGACCCCGCTTCCTAAAAGAGTTAGACATATTACAGTGACATATGCATGAGATACATCCATCATATTACAATGATACGCTCATGTTTACAGCAGCATAATTCCTAATAGTTAAACCTTGGAAGGGGCCTACATGTCCATTAGCAGAAGAGTGGATAAAGAAAATGTGGTATTTACATACATGGCAAATCACTCTGCCATAAAGGATAAATCTAAGTCATTTATAAGAAAGTAGATATACCTTGAGACCTGTTATGGCTTGTGTCTAGGTGTCCCCTTAAAGCCTCACACAGTCATAGGTAGGGCTTTTCGGAGGTGGCTGGATCTGGAGTGTATGATGCTGGGATTAAGGGTATGTAATTACTAAATCAGTCCACTGATTGGTTTGGTACAGTTCTGGCTAGGATTTAGGATGCCCCACCTTGAGGGGGGGGTGGTACCCATCCTAAGAGCAGGTAGCCTGGACAGAATATAAGGGACAGAAAGAGGTTCATGCTTGTTGCTTGTCACTTTTTGTCTTCTGCCTACCCTGCTTTGCCATAGGCCGTTTCTCCTCTGCGATGCCTCTAGGCCATGCCACTCTGCCTTGGAGCCAGGAGACTATGAACTGAAACCTCTACAAACTTTGAGCTAAATAAACCTTTCCTCCTTTAACTTTGGGTGTCAGGTATTTTGTCTCAGCAATAAGAAAAGTAAGATAAGACCACAATGCTAAGTAAAATAAATCAGACAAATGAGCTTAAATATCGCATACTTTCTCTCATGAGAAACCCAAAGTGAAAATAATGTAAAGAGCAAAATACAAGACAGATAACAGGAAACAGGAAGGTAGATGTTTTGCAAATGGGAAAAGGACAGAGAGATGAAGGGAGAGGAGAGGGAGGGGAAGTAAAAAAAAAAAAAGGGCTGGGGTTCAGTGGTTCCGCTGCCCGCCTTTCAAGCACAAGGTCCCGAGTTTGATCCCCGGTACCAAAAAAAAAAGATGCATCATGTACAAGTACCAATTCCCCACAATGAATGTAATCATCATGCACTACAAACATGGAGTAATAAAAAAAAATGTAAAGGCCCCCAATGAGATGCAGCTACAGTGAGAGTCTATGCTTTATTCTGTTTTCACTTAAAATATACTCCTTTAAATGACACTGGAAATACCACTGTGGACAGAGAAGCTTACAGTGAAAAAGGAACTTCAGAGGTCATCTATTCCAAACTCAGTTTACAAAAGATGAAAATAACAAAACTTTGACACATATACCAGGAAAGGGGGCGTAGGTATCAAGCTGCTTTACTCCTTCTTCCAGCAGACTAAGAGCAAGCTCCAGCATTGGTGACTCGTTCAGAAGATGATACATCAGACTGAAGCCAGGCAATTTGTAGGCCATAATTTCTTCTCCTAAACAGAACATAATGCAGTTCACAAGATGGTGCATTAGTAAACTGTCACATCTTTGATTTCTATAAAATGTGTATTTATAAATTAAATGGGTCCTAAATAGCTGAAGGCAAGTTTCAATTTAGAGATGGTGACACCAGCTCCTTAGAGTAGCAATTCTCATCTGCACATTGCAGTGAGTCACCTTTACAGGTGAATTCATTGGAGAACATATTATGCAATGCTCTCGATATTCCATTCACTAAAATTTTACGTTATTTTCTCTTAAACAGAACATTAATGATTAAAACAGTGAAATACAGATTAAATTCTAATTTAATTTGTAAGTATAAATTTTACATAAAACATAATTTATAAACTAAACACAGCTTTATAAATAGCTGACATCTTATTTGAAAATTAAATTACCTTGTAGCTCCACAAACTGGTCCACAAAATCTTCAAGCTGAGGCTCATAATCTCTGAGTAATTTATAAAACACCTCCAAAACAACCTCAGCAACTTCCCACTACAGAAAGAAACAAGTATTTCAATAACAACAAATAGTGCAAGGTAGTAGCCTCACTGTGCTTTGAATTCCTCCTATTTTTTCCTCCAGAAAATGAGCAAAGTCACTTGTCTCTTAACTTATACAAAGTAATAGAGAAAGCCTAAGTCATATTGCTATATTGTGCTGAAGGATAATGTATTAGTTCATTTTCCAGGTAAAATACTTTTTTTAAAGCATTACTTAAGAAACATTTCTAAGTCAGGCATGGTGGTACATGCCTGTTATCCCAACACTCAGGAGGCTGAGGTAGGAGGCTGAGGTAGGAGGGTCACAAGCTTGAGACCAGCTTGGGTAAGATAGTGAGTCCATGGCAAGAACCTGTCTCAAAAAGACAAATAAAAGGGCGGGAGGATTTAGCTCAGTGGTTCCACTGCCTGCTTCGCAAGCACAAAGTCCCGAGTTTGATCTCTGGTACCAAAAAAAAAACAAATAAAAGAAACATTTCTATAGAAGAGTCTGGGTTCATTAGCAAATGTAAAGCATTCGGTACCTAGTCATATTCAGTTTACAATTAAACAACATCAGATTTCATAAAGGGTCAGATACTTCACACTCTTAAGAATCTCAGCTGGAAAGGATCTGAAAAATCATCTCACCTAGTCATTGTAATTTCATACATAAAGCTCAGAGCAGTGACCAAATGCCCCAAGATCCTACAGCTTGCCTGCAAACAATCTGGAAGTCAAGCTCAGGCGTCTAATTCTTAAGAGTAAAGCTTCATCCCATGCCAATAGTCAAAGGTGGTCAAGAATACAATTACTGGCAGGCTTGCTACAAATAACCTCTTTACCACCTCTCTGTTAGAGATAAATTTAAAATCTATGTACTAATGAGGGGAAAATTTATGTCAAAGGACAAATCTATGGTTGTATGTATAGTAAAATTAAACTTTGCTTCAAAATCCATAAAATGATCATATAAATTCTGGACTAGATTATAGCTAGGCAGCTAAAATGGACTAGATATGGAAGGAAGAAGTGGAAAAGTCAAACTAGAAGACTGGAAGTAGTAGGACCACTGAGTGACATGTGAAACAAGACAAAGTGCAACAGAATGGCTCGGGAAAGGAGAGCCTAAGCATAAAAGAGCAGTGTGTGTCTCAAGGTGCAGAGGCAGGGGGAACTGTACTCTGAGTGGCAGTAGACAGGAAGTATTCAGTAAGCGATTAGCAAACTCCAGAGAGGCTCAGGACTGAAGTTCCTGTTTGGGGATTCAAAATAATAAAATCAAGGGCCAGGGATTTAGCTCAGTGGTGCCACCACCTGCCTCAAAATAATAAAATAAAATAAAATAAATACATAAAATGTAACAAGACTGGTTTTAGTCGCCGTATACAGGTTGGTTTTTTAAATTACTATTTAGAATCATTAATTCCACTACACATAATTCTGTCAGAGTTCAAGTTTCATAATAGGACTTTAGGGTAGCTTTGTATTATTATTATTTTGAAATTATTTACTTGTTGTATTTTCCAAAATTTCCAGAAAGTTTAAATAAAAATGTTGTATCATGACATAATAATGGACTTTAGGATTGTCGAATAAAATATTTATTGCTTATCTCAATCAAAAGCCTGTTTTTATAACCAGCCACTGCCCTAAAATATAGATATATAAGTTAAACTCAAGAAGATATTCAGGGCCGGGGATGTAGCTCAATGGTTCTGGCGAATGCCTCACAAGGGCAAGGTCCCGAGTTTGATCCCTGGTACTAAAAAAAAAAAGATTTTCAAACAAATTCTAAAAACTGAGGGAAATTTTTTTAGAGTAAATACATGGACATGGAACAGAAATCAATAGCAGCCCAAGAAGGCTGCAGAACTTGAAGTGTAGCTATGTCTGGGCAAAAATAAGACATCCAGAAAGATCATGGCTAACTAGAGCTCTAAACACTAAGATCATGACAATCTTTTCCAAAAAAAGCAGGAAAGACATTTAAAACAATTACAAAAACGTGTCCATACTTTTTGTCAAAGGGACTGCAATGATCAGCATCCACTACTTATTCACATTACTTATCTGAATGACTTTTATTATCTGAATGACTTTTATTAATGAGGCATAGTTGCTGCCATTTTTATCAAATTAGAAATTTATACTGAGGTACTTCTACAGCTTAAATGTTTTTTCTCAGTGTTTATTTTTACAAGGGAACAAAAATTATAAAAGCACCTGACAAAAAATGAACAGTCAGGCCAGATATAGTGGCACAGGCCTGTAGTCCCAGCACTCAGGAGGCTGACACAGGAGGATTGCTGTGAGTTCAAGGTCAGCCTGGGCTACATAGCAAGTTCAAGGTCAGCCTGTCTCAAAAAAAAAAAGCAAAAACTGTTATTTGTGAAACAAGCTATGACCACTGAAGCTAGATACAAGTAATAAAAATGATGCAGTCCCTAAAGACTTTTCAAAGAATCTTTAATGGTGTGAAAAATCTTCATTATGTTAAATGATAAAAAGAGAACACAAAGTAATATAGCTATCTCAAGTATTAATATACGTGCACATTAACTAGACTATACGTAACTATCCTTCTTAACCTTCTTTGTAAGGCTATGGGTGATATAATTTCTCATTATTCTATATTTCCAAATTGTCCCAAATTAGCATGAACTATATTATTTTTATAATCACTAATACTACAAAAATCCAAGAAATTAAAAAATAGCAAACTATAATAATAAAGCAGAAATGTTTCTATAAGGCACACCCAAGGGTATCCTGTGAGGTAATAAGCAGTGTTATAGACTAAAGTAACATCAGAACCTGATGTGTCTCTTACATAGCTTAGTGGTTATGAGCTTGGATCTGGAATCAGAGTCCTATGTTCAAATCCTGGTCGTGGACCTTAGGCAAGCTCCTTAACTTTGCTAAGCCTCCATCTGTAAAATGGGAATATTAATAGTACCTGCCTCAAATACTGAAATTACACACAATGAAATATATGATGAGATTGGTGGTGTCCTGTGAGTAGTGCCAGCATGGGGATAAATGTCAGTGCTCCCTGAGCTTCATCTATGGCAGCCACGCCTAGGGGATCACAACACTCCTTCCCTCTAACCAACACGCCACAGCTTAATTTTTTGGTCCAATTTTAGTCAAAATTTGTTCAGTTAGGAATCTAAATGACTATGAACTTAAATCAAATAAATTACTGACCACTGAAATGTCAGTGCTTTGATTTTTTAATGTACATAAATTAGTCAACTGCAGAGTTCAAAATTAAGATTATGATTTCTTTTTACTAACTCTGAAAGCTAAAATGAATTTATAACCCTTTACACTTATGATGAAAGAAAAAGAAACAGTAAATGAATATGGAGAAGAAAGTTTCTCTAAACATAACCTTTTCAGCTGCTCTCCGGTAAGCTCTGGTGCGGAATCGGAGAAAAACAGAATCTCTAAGGAACTGCAAATAAGGGTCAAAGCCAGGGGGCCGCAGACCAGCGCCCAAATTGGAAGGAAATGAGCTCTCCACCAGGGTACTAATAAGCTGGCAAAAGGCTCGAGTCAAGGGGTATTCTTCACACCGTGATTCTATTTCATTCAGTTCAACCTTCAAAAACAAAAAGGTGGTATAAAATTATCAGCTACAGAACATTTTGTGGACATTAACTTACTGACAGCGCTATATCACACTAAAAGAACAGATATTTTGGGCCGGGGATTCAGCTCAGTGGTTCTGCTGCCTGCTGCTCAAGCTCAAGGACCCGAGTTCAATCCCCGGTACCAAAAAAAACACAACAGATATTTTCACTGAAAAGACACAGAAGTATTATATTAATGCAGATGAGTCAGATGGAATAATTTCAAATTTCCACATTTTAGCCCAACCTTATATTAATGAGAAAGCTTAAATGTGTCTTTAAAAAAAGAGAGAGAACAGAAAGTAAAATAATTGTCTCATCAGGTTGACTCAACTGATCTAATTAACTGAGTTCAAACCAAGACTTTCAGAGTCTGGATGGCAGGCAACCAACATCCTTTTCCAATTCTGAAACATTAAATATTTTGGTTTCTTTCATGGAGAGTTTCATCCCTTTCAACAATGATCAGAAAACTCTCCAATTGCAAACATACTAAATTTGAAAGTTATAGAAACAATAGGGTAAGAATCATTTTTAGGCTCTTTTTATTAGCACACGTATTAATGAACAAACATAAGAACTAAACTTAAAGGAAACTTTACCTCGATCCCAATAGCTTGCCTCTGGCTTGAAACCCTGATGGTCTGTAGTATCTTGAAATAATAAGAAGTAGATGTCAGGAGCATTCTGCATTTCTCAATGGGCAGCAGCAGCTGTGCTATGTGATAGTCAGTCATATACCGCACCCACCACACCCACACTTCTCACAATGGCCAACAGCTGAGGAGTCCCTAATGGCCTTTCAATAGCAATTCAAAGTTTTCAATTTTGTATGATGTAAAAACCTGGCATTTCTAAGAGCACTCTAGATCTTTTTTCAGCAAATTTTCCCTAGGATTTTCTAAGAATGAATCTTTAAAAGGATTTACAGGATGAAATTTCACCAGTATTCAAAACACTATTTCTGTTTACAACCAGCCTTATTTAAACCAACAAGCAAACTTAACCAAGAATAGATTTCTGAAAGTGAGAAGTTTTGAGTTGAGATGTTCTGTCTTATCCTTCTTATAGGGTCAGACTATATGCAATAAATTATACTTATTCATCATACTTCACTTTCCAAAAACGAAGAGTGCACTGATAGGTAGACTCCTTTAAAAGCATTAGCATTTGCTCTAAGGACCTAGTTATACTTCATTTCAGGTCTAAAGAAGCAATGTGCATGCAGAACAATGGTATGTCCCGGTATATTCATGAATCAAAATGGGAAGTATCAATAGTAAGCCCAAAGTGGCTTAGCCTCTCACACACAGGCCAACTCCATTAATTGTTTCATAAGGTATCATTCATATCTTCAAGATACATATGTTAGAAAATAATCTACAATACTTTACTACTTTAAAATGGCTTGTTCTGTGAGTAATTTAGAATCACAGGCTCCTTTAATGTTGTATTACTTCTAAAACAAACACATATTCCACCCAACCATTTTATCAGAGGTGCTTCTATGAAGTGTATCCTTCTTTCCTTTTTCACTTCATCACACAGAAGTAACTATCCTTGATACAAAAACTCCAAGAGCTTACATTTGGAGAAAAAAAAGTTCATTTAGAGTCCAAACATTACATAACCATGTATTTCCCCTGCCAAATCAGCATACATACATTCCCTAAGTTTGAAGTAGTCAAAGAATCCTGCTACCATATTACCACTTTCCATATTTTCCCATTCTCAAAGCTTATGGTCCTGACAGCAAGCCTTCATGACTGCCAACAGAGTCCTCTGACTGCTGTTAAAATTTCTCTGTAAACCTGGCAAACAGTTGAACCCAAGCTTTAATGGGAAAACAAGCCCCATGATGACATACAGGTTTACTGATGTTTCAGTCCGTTTGGACAAGATGGGCACATTAAAAAAAAGGAGCAGAAAAGAAAATTAGACACTTTTTACATTTAAATGAGTACAGATGACTTCTGAAAACTCGTATCAGCCTTGTCTTGAAGGGTTCTGTTCATTTAGAAATATCTTACAGACATTGGAAAATAAGATCCTAAAAGAGTTATCTGTGTCTGGTAACCCAGTGAGGCTGTCAACTACACCCACAGAAACCTAGGCCTCGGAGTTTCTGATGCTATGTCTGGCCCCCAGTCCTTAACTTTGTAGTTGGGAAATTCACAGTGTAAATCCTGGTCAGTCAGATACCCTCCACTTCTATGGCACTATCATGTTCACTTTCCAAGTAATACATGTAAGGGTGTTTCAGTGAGTGTACCTGTGTATATTCCAGCGACTGCCACAAGGAGGCTGCAATTTCAGGGGACTTTCCAAAGGCAGCGAGTGTCTTCAGCAGCTCAGCTTTTAGAACAGGGGGTATGCTGCACTGTAGGAGGCCCAGAATCACCACAACAGGTGTCCACTGAGGATGTTCGCAGAGTGCCAGTCGAGCATTTTCACTCTGAGAATTGAGCATAAGACTTCCCGTTTTTATTTTATTTTTGAGATCAAGTATCACTACATTTCCCAGGCTGATCTCTAACTTCTGGGCTCAAGTGATCCTGATGCCTCAGTCTCCCACACAGCTGAGATTATAGCCACATGCCACCAAATCTGGCTTTTCTTTTTTTTTTTGGTTACCGGGGATCAAACTCAGGACCTTGCACTTGCCAGGCAAGCGTAGTACCACTGAGCTACATCCCTGGCCCTGGCTTTCCTTTTTAAGTGCTAAGAAAAATGACCAACAACCATTTAAGCTGCTAGTACTTATACTAAGCCCTCACAGGTTCAATACATACTGAAACCAAGACAAGCTTAACATGAAAGTCTACCAGGGGATCAAACCAGACCACTAGTTTGGTCACTATAAAGAAAAGAAATAGCCTTTGTAGAACTACTTTTGCAGGGATCTACAAACAGAAATAAATAATCTGCCAAGGTCACATAAATCTTACCTAGGGTTTGGAAATCCTTTCTGGAACAGCTAATATATTATACTATAATAGAACACAGGAATGAATAAATACCTTGTCTTTTCTGAGAAAAAAAGGGGAACATATTTGGTATCAAGTATACTTTCATTTTAATGCAGTGAGATATAATTATAAACTTGACTTTTGATTTTTAACACTGTTAAGAATGATTAGAGAAAAAAAAACTAAGGACTAATCTTGTCCTTAAGAAATAGACAAAGTAACTTAACTTTGTTCTAGTGAACAAGAGAAACTGAGATTTCTAAGTTGGGAAATAATGTAATGAAAATAATGTTTTTCAAAAGACTAACATGGTAGTAACAGGTAAAATAGTTTGGTATAAGGAGAAAAAAATTCCATAAATAGCTTTTCTTTTTAATTAAAGCTATTCATTCTGTACACACATACTTGCCAACACACAGTCACACATTTGCACACACCTACTCTAGAAAACCTGGAAGAATGCATATTCAATAACTGATTCTTACTTACCCCTCTATGTCTTTTAGGTTAAGGCCATTATTTTTCATCCTAACATGATGCTGGTGAGCAAGGCTGCCACAATTTATACCTTCCAAGGTCAATAAGAATGCTAAATGTATCACTCATAAATTCTGAGCATTACAAGAAACATCTGGCCCCTTAAAATGCCGTGGTGCTAGAATATAAACCCTGCAGTTGATGGATAACCTACCCATGTAATGATGATAGACGCGAGCTGCAAAAAGGCGATCAGTCCATCCTGCTCCTTCTGGGTGATGCCACGTGAAGGGAGGTGGCGGTACTGGACACTGTCTGCACTCGGGAGGTCCTTCCGAAGGTGCTCATGGTAAAGCATTAAGGAGTGAAAGAAGTGCTCCCAGGAAACTGGACTGCCACCTGCTCCCTGGATATTTTCAACTGTAAAGAAAGGCAGCACAACATTTTTTTTTCTAGAAAGACATCTGTTTGGAAACAGAAAATGTGTAACCAATTTTGCTTCTGTTTTAGCACAAGTGCAATCTTTGTCCAGATAATCAGTGTGTTGTCTTGCCTAGGTAAATTGTTTACTGAAGGGTGGAAATCCCTGGTGAGCAGAACTCTGCATTCATTTTCCTCATGGCTAACAATGGGGTAGTGTCCATGTAAATATAAACTACTTTGGATGCTGGTTACCGCTTCACAGCCAGAAGAGTTCTCTGTGCTGTCACGTAACTACACAAGGCTGCTTTTCCCACAAAACAATGTTGAGCCTGAATTCCCAAAGAGACAGCGACAGTCTGGATCTGTAAATTACTAGTCCACTGTATGCCAAGGACTAGGGGCAAGAGCACAGAATACAAGGCAGACAAACCCTGACAGCACAGTCCAAATACCGGCTCTGGAGCCCAATGTGGCTCCCCAGTGACCTGTCACCTGGGATAAATTAGGTAACTTCCCTAGGCCTTAGTTCTTCACATATATAAAGGAAAGTAATAGCTTCTTAACAAAGCATGCACTTTTCTTTTTATAGTGTTTTTGTTTTAATCAGACCTGAATCTGAAAATTAAATGAGGAAACTGGGATAAGGTCAAGAAAAAATTTTAAAAATCAGTATTTATGACGAGAAATTAATCAAATGTATGTGCCAAGGGTATATACTTTGCTTTGTATACCAGATTATGTTCTTGAAATTTTACATATTTACATAATTTCTTACAATGAACTATATTTTATAACAGGGATGGCAAAATTCTCTAATCTGTGAGGCTCTAATCAAAGCACCACAGCACATAAAGCAACCAGTGTGCCTCTTTCCGTTATTGCAAAAGCAATTTATACCTCTGGTAGAACCCAGCACAATAACCACTGTTCTAACTAGGCAGTAAGATATCGACCTCAAAAATGTAAAAGAATCTTCAATGACATCCAGACTTGCCTTACCGTGACTACTACCATTGACTTTGAGGAGGCTGAAGCAGTAGTGGGCACATTGAGGCCCGTTAGCCAATCCCTGGAGCATTTTCAAGTAAGGAATATAAATAGTTGGAGGCAGTAGGTCACCCATTTGCCTGACAAATTTTGATAAGACAACCTGAAATAAGATAAAAACATACAGTTTATATAAAGTGTATCTTTACTACAAGGCAACATGGACTAGCTAATAAAGACTACATATAAATCAAAACTAAGTGCTTTGATTTAACCCTAGCAGAAGACAAAATTAAGGGTATTCTATTTACGAAAAATTGTTTTTAATCTGTTCAGCAGCAATTTAACCAGTTTCAAAATCTTTTTGTGAATAAAAGTAAGTACATTTTTTCAAACATCTCAAGATTACAATAGATTTTTAGTACGTAAAGCAATTGAAGAAATGTATCCATCCAAAATTAACCAGAAAATTCAAAGGCTTACTTAGGAGCCAGAGTCCCTAAATCTCAGCTGGATTAGTATGAAGACCTGTCAACCTAAATCATCTTCATGGTAACATAAGCCTGTTTTTGTGATCCCAACAAAACCATGTTCTGACACTGTTATCAGTTCTATCAGTTTTTTCCTTTTTCTTTCTTATACTTTAAATCTTATCAATAACTAAAAATATTCATGCTCATTACTTAGAACATAGAACTGAAAATGTTACAGTTTTCTGCAAAGTATTATTAAATCTGTTAGGCGTAACAATGGTTTTATAATAATGGAGGAAAATATCTTTAATTTTAAGAACTATACTTATTTAACCATTGAAGGGGGAAAAGTCATGTTATAATTTATTTTAAAATATTCCAGTAAAAATAAAAGGAATAAAAATA